ACCTCATCATAGTGATAGTTTACAACATGAGGAAATCACATATAACCTCATCATAGTGATAGAGTTTACAACACATAAGGAAATCACATCAGATTACACAATCATACAATACTGAGAATCATGACCTAGCCAAGTTGACAGATATTTTTGAGGGACACAGTTCAATCCATGACAACAAGCAACTGTGCCTAAGAGGATTTGCAGACAAAAAGCTCATGCTGAGTAGATCCCATGCACCACTCATTTACTGTGTCAGGCTGAACCATTTCAACTTTATTGCCCGGAGAGTGGTTAGTGGATTTGGGCAAGGGTAGGAATTTGGGGCCAGAGATGGTGGTGCTGTTGTTAGGTGCCATCAGGTTGATTATCAACTCATAGCGACCCCTTGTGACAGAGTAGAGCTGCCCCGTAGTGTTTTCTAAGCTGTAATCTTTATGGGAGCAGATCATCAGGTCTTTGTCTTTTGGAGCCACTGGGTGGTTCAAACTACCTATCACCCTTTCAGTTAGCAGCCGAGCACTTCAGAGGTAGGGGATCTAAAAAGTTGAAAGAGTGTGAAGGAAAAGGCCAGAGGTTTATAATTGGTTGTCTTGTTTATAAGTAGAAAGTCAGAAGTCGAGCTCCCAAATAAATTTTTAGGAATAGTGTTTCTTAAGTCAGTCCAGAAGTTAGTACATCTACAAAGAAAGAGCTGAGACCTAGTTGGTAATGTAACAACTAGACTGAGCAATGGGCAATCCCTGGTGATAGAAATTCCCCTACAGCAGGAAAAACACACATCACAGAGGAGCATACATAGTAAAATTTATTTAAAAAAAAAAAAAAAGAAGAAAAAGAAAAACAATAATTTACGGCCTTGGCAAAATAAAGGATCTTGTCAATATAAATGTTTTTTAGAAAACATATGAAAAGATAATACATATATCAATAAATCAATATCAATGTTATAGCAAAAGTAATAATTATTCTACAACAAGTGAAGATGTTCCTGGCCCTTATATGGCAATGTTTCTGGAAGATCCTCTGATTCCTCCTTACTTTAGTGCCACTGTGCCCTCTTTTTAAGAAAGCCTGATACACATAAATCTAAATTTACAAAGTTGATCAGTTAAAGGATATTTATTTGCATCACAAAATTCTTTCCAAAAAAATCAAAAGATTTCTGTCAGGGATCCTTCAAATAGCAAATTTTCCTAATACATTTAGAATATGATTACCAAATACATGTGCCCCCTACTTGTTTTCAGTTTTGACTTTAGTGCATAAAGTGAGGTATACTAGAAGTGAGGAGGGAAGAGAGTTGGGCTTCAGATCTGACTGGGGAAAGTGTGTTCTTACTCTTGGTATGAGGAAATAATGGGAGCACACAAATTCTCTCATCAGTCTTTTTTTTTTCTTGTCTCAACCCTTTTGTGGTAAACTTTGTTCACCTTTGTACTCTCAGGAAAAAAAGGAGGAAGCCATGTGAAAGGGTGACATATTAATGAATTAGGGAGTCACTCCAACAGAGCAGGGCAAGAGGAGAATCTGGGATTCAGAGTGTGTATGTAGATATAGCTGGGGGAAAACAGGGCAATTCTGAACCTTTGATGTGGTGTTTTTGAGGCCCCTCTCCCAGTAGAGGCACCAGTTCCCTGAGGAGCAGCAGGGCCCAGGCTAGCCATCTCTGAATGGGATGTATCCTCAGAATGGGCAAGGGCCTATTTGTCGCACTCCTCCTGGCTCCCTTCAGCGCAGTGGTAGTGCTGCTCGCAGAACTCCTGGATCCGGCTACAGGCCTCCAGCATCATCACCTCTGGCACTGTGATTACCATTCGGAAGAAATTCGGGTACTCAAAGCACTGCAAAAATAAGAGCCTGTTATCTTCAGAGCAACCGAATCTGGTTCCAGACTACCCTATAAATGGCCAGGGCCCCAATTAGAAAGAGGCAGTGACACCATTTAGTCAGGGGTATCAATCTGTTCAATTCCCATCACTGAGGGACCAAGTAGGTAATGAAATTAATTCATCTTAAAAGGAAGCAGTGGGACAAGCTCGATTTCCTTGCACCTAGAATGTTAGGCCACAACTTTTCTTCCAGGTATAGGTGGGATAATGATGGGAGGTGGGATAATGATGGGAGAGAAACAAATTTTAAATAGACGCCATGAGACATATGCATTTAAATCTAGTCAAACGAGAATACACTCTGTTGTGTGTGTGTTGGTGCGGGAGGGTAAGGCTAAGGTCCATAGGTGGTGCAAACAGTTTGCCTTCAAACTCTAACATAAAAGTTGATGGTTCGAACCCACCCAGTGGCACCTCGGAAGAAAGCCCTGACAATCTGCTTTCATTAAGATTACAGCCAAGAAAGCCCTATGGAGCAGTTCTACTCTGTAATACATGGAGTCGCCATGAGTTGGAATCAACTCCAGGGCAACTAACAACAATGACAAGAAGAAAAAGGCCAGCTCAGGGAGACTCCTGGGCCTCTAGAAACTGTTGAGAATGTCCTGAGAGAGAAACAAGCACTCACCGTTGCTGGGAGGCAGTGGACGGATTGCTCAGCAACTAACCGCTCGGTGAACTCCACATCATTCTCAAATTCTGGGAAATGTTCCATCTCAATTCCAACCTATACCAGTAATAGAAGGAAGAAGCAAACTTATCAGAAGGAGGAAAACAGGCGAACTCCCTATGACAGAAATTAAGGTAGGGAGTACTCTAAAAGATATCTTGGACCTCTACTATAGATAACTCAGACTCAGAGTTCTCGCAAGCACTTAGGAGCTCATGAAATTTTTCACAGGTAAGAGAGAATATATTTATATTAATAGTTTGTTGAAGAGTTCCTTTCTGGAAGCCGATAAATTAAAGCTGAAGATAGAATGTCAGTGTTTCTCAAAAGAGGCACTATTAGCATTATGGTGGGCTAAGCAATACTTTATTGCGTGGGACTATTGGAGCCCTGGTGGTGTAGTGGTTAAATGCTACAGCTGCTAACCAAAAGGTTGGCAGTTCAAATCTACCAGCCCCTCCTTGGAAACCCTATGGGGCAGTTCTACTCTGCCTATAGGGTCACAATGAGTTGGAATCGATGGCAACGGGGATCCCAGCCATTATAGGATATTTAGCATCCCCAGTCCACAGAACGCCAATAGCACCGCCAAATCATTCAGAAAACAAACAAAAATCCTATGCTTTCCCAAACACCCCTAGGGAACCAGTATCACCCTCAGCTGAGAACTATAAGTGTGGGGAAAGCCTCTTATCTGTGTCTTATATTTTCTTTGTATCTAGACATGAAATGATTGTCCGTACTGCAGAATTAAGTCATTTTAAGAACTTTTTGAACACAGGTTAAATCGCGTCAGTGGGACAATTCAGAACAAGACAGTTCGTAAACTGACTGACTTGGGAGTCTAGCTCATTGTAGTTATGAATGGTGGCTCCTGGAATTGTTCAGTGCACGCCCTGCATGACCACCTATGGCAGCCTTGCGGAGTGCCTTCCCTTTGCTTTACAACTACATAGATCTAGTGCCTGCCACCCATATACTCACCATGAGATACATGGCCCCAGAAGGACAGACTGGCTGGAGTCCAGGGATAGCAACCAATGCTCCGTAACAGAGATCAGCATTGGACTACAAGAGGAGGCATAGCGAAATCCAAGATCACCATTTAAATAAAAGAAAACCGAGTCATTAAAAGTAGATCCACCATCGATGGTCAGGAACCTAGGTTTGCTCTGTTGGCATGAGAAGTTAACGAGAAAAAGCCTCTCAGTTGAAGCTTCTGGCAGGAGCAGAAGGAACTGCCAAAGGTGAGAGAAATGTGTAGGTTGATATTTATACGGGTGCCATCTCCTGGACAAATATGGAAGCCTGACAATAGAACATTGCTCCAGAAATGAGGACCAATTATTTCCAGTTCCACTGGTGGCATTCCCTGACTTCCCAAGTGGAAGGCCATGGGCTGCCTTTACCTTGAGGAAGCTTAGAGTGTTGTGGTAGAACTCTTGAGGGGTGCGATGGAGGATGCTTTCCAGAGCTCCCTGGACAATGGTGCAGGGTCCCAGGATCCGCTGGCTCAGTTTCACCAGCCCTTCTCGGATCTAAAAGCCCCCCAGGAAACACAGTTAGCCTTTCTTAAGCATTTCTGCTTTGGGGATTCTTGTTCTGACCATTATCTCTATCAGGTTTTTAATCTTTGGGGAAGTGATGATAGCTAGTGACATTCGGAGCTCAGACCGCCTGGGTTTGTGGCCCAGCTCTGCCATGCACCTGCTGTGTGACTCTAGGCAAATTATGTAACTTCGTTGTGCCTCATTTTTCTCAACCGTAAAATGGAGTTAATATTAATACTGACCTCGTAAGGTTGCTGTGATGAGTAAACAAAAATAATATATATACAAAGCGACAACAGCAACTCAAGAGATTAGATAGTGAGTTTATTAATGGAGAGGAACATGGTTACACAACTCGAAGAATGCAATCATTGCACTGAATTGAACACTTAGAAACTGTTGAATTGGTGTATGTTTTGCTGTGTATATTCTCAACAACAATAAAAATAAATTAATTAAAAAAATAATGTATATAAAGCACTGGCATGTAAGAAACCCTCAAACATCAGCTGTCATTTCTGTTATGTTTCCTTTTGGTGATCTTAAAATTGGAAATGGATGGAACTTCTTCACAGAACCAGATACAGAAAAACTGAGTTTGGGAGAGGAAAACTGTTACCATCTTTATCCACTGTTTTTCCAGGCACCCTGAACTACAGGGCCAAGAACAAAAAAAAATTCTACTTCCTTACCACTATGCACGCAAAGTAAGTATGTGTGCTAAACAAGGCATACTGTTTCACCACATCGCTCTCACCTCGTTGCCAAAAATGTCTCTTCGGTCATGGATGAGGATCCAGCCCAATCTCCAGCCAGGAACCAGCCAGCGCTTGGCCAGCCCACCACAGGACAGGATGGGAACGTCGGTGCTTAGGGGGGCTAGAGGTTCATATTTGCAATCTGAAAACACCTAAGGACAGGACGTGCTCATTAGAGTTGTCTTCCTGCCTTCTTTCCCCAGGAACCCATGTCTCCCCACCTTTTCCTTGTAATCACTAGGAATAGGGCCTCATGTTTGTGGGCCCATCCCTACCCTGAAGCATGATTGCGATTCCAAGAGGCTTCCAAGGGACTATCCAAAGACCTTCCATTTGTTGTCTTGTCTGGATTAAAAGAAACCTAGAAGAAGGAAACTGGCCTAGCCCAGTAATATGCACAGTCCCATGAAGCTGGCTCTACGAAATTAGTGGCTGTTGGAGTTGCAGATTTAAAAATATGGGTTCATGTGTGGGGTCTTAAAAGCCTGTGAGCAGCCATCTAAGTTACTCCACTGGTCTCACCCTTTTGGGAGCAAGGGAGAATGAAGAAAACAAGATACAAGGAAAAG